TCGGTGGGCACTGTAGACGTCAAATGCAGAATGAGTTGAAGCACATTTAGGCCCGAACCTAGGCCTCTGCTGCCAACAAACCTGAAGGGGCCCCTTTTCCACCCATCCCCCTGGAGGCAAAAGGGGGATGTCTCCACCCACGGTTGGGCCTGAGCTGGAGTGGACAGTTGGTTAGGGTCAGAAAGTACTAGGCTTTTTTTTTTTTTTTTTTTTTTTTTCTGAGAGGGAGTCTTGCTCTGTCCCCCTGGCTGGAGTGCAGTGGCGCCATCTCAGCTCACTGCAACCTCCGCCTCGCTGGTTCAAGTGATTCTCCTGCCTCAGCCTCCTGAGTAACTAGAATTACAGGTGCGCACCACCACGCATGGCTAAGAACTGGGTTTCTTATGCCCCAGCTGTAGGACAGTGTTCTAGTCCTGGTCTGGACATTGGTCCTGAGCACCAGATGACCCGGCCTCATGCCATCTGGGGGTAGGGAGGGGAGACCCTGGGGAGGGGGCAAGAAACAGTGCTCCTCCCCATTGATGCTGTGGGGTCCCAGGTGTCCGGACAAGGCCAAGCAGGAGGTGGTGACTGCCCCATCTATGCTAGTGCCTGTTGACAGGACTTTGAAAGACACTGGACGGAGGGAAACCCTCCCCACAGCCTCCACTCTGCCCAAAGTGCCAGGTGTGAGGAAATGCAGAACACGCCACTCACCTGCAGCTGGTATGCCCCACCATCCCCAGACCAGCACAAGGAAAGGCTGGCAGCAGAGAGCCAAGAGCAGGACTGACACAGGGGCAGGTGGTGTCTGATGCTCCTGCAGCCCAGGCAGGGTGGGATATTAGATGAATTATTTTTCAACAATCAGAATAGCTGTAGTCAGGTGCAGTGACTCACACCTGCAATCCCAGCACTTTGGGAGGCTGAGGCGGTTGGATCCCTTGAGCCCAGGAGTTTGAGACCCGCCTGGGCAACGTGGTGAAACCTGGTCTCTACAAAAATTTGCCAATCGTGGTGGCACACACCTGTAATCCCAGCTCCTTGGGAGGCTGAAATGGAAGGATCCCTTGAACCTGGGAGGTCAGGGCTGCAGTGAGCTGTGATTGCATCACAGCACTCAGCCTGGGTGACTGAGTGAGTGAGACCCTGTCTCAAAAAAAAATTGTTGGATGGCCGGGCGCGGTGGCTCAAGCCTGTAATCCCAGCATTTTGGGAGGCCGAGGCGGGTGGATCACGAGGTCAAGAGATCGAGACCATCCTGGTCAACATGGTGAAACCCCGCCTCTACTAAAACTACAAAAAATTAGCTGGGCATGGTGGTGCATGCCTGTAATCCCAGCTACTCAGGAGGCTGAGGCAGGAGAATTGCCTGAACCCAGGAGGCAGAGGTTGCGGTGAGCCAAGGTCGCGCCATTGCACTCCAGCCTGGGTAACAAGAGCGAAACTCCGTCTCAAAAAAAAAAAAAAAATTGTTGGTTTCCTGATTAAAGAACATGTGCAGGCCGGCTTGGTGGCCCATGCCTGTAATCCTAGCATCCTAGCACTTTGGGAGGCCAAGACGGGCAAATTGCCTGAGCTCAGAAGTTTGAGACCAGTCTGGACAACACAGTGAAACCCTGTCTCTACTAAAATACCAAAAATTAGCTGGGTGTGGTGGCATGCCGGTAGTCCCAGCTACTTGGGAGGCTAAGGTAGGAGAATTGCTTGAACCCGGGAGGCAGAGGTTACAATGAGCCAAGATTGTGCCACTGCACTCCTGCCTGGGTGACCCAGCAAGACTCTTGTCTCCAAAAAAAAAAAAAGCACGTGCTCGGCAGTCAACAGTTACACGTGTTCAGCAGCACGCTGTCCAAGTTAGGGATCTGGTTAGAGAGAAGGTTAGGGATCTGGTTAGAGGAGGTTAGGGATCTGGTTAGAGGAGGTTAGGGATCTGGTTAGAGAGGAGGTTAGGGATCTGGTTAGAGGAGGTGAGGGATCTGGCTAGAGGAGGTTAGGGATCTGGTTAGAGGAGGTTAGGGATCTTTTTTTTTTTTTTTTGAGACAGTCTCACTTTGTCGCCAGGCGCCAGGCTGGAGTGCAGTGGCGCGACCTCAGCTCACTGCAACCTCCACCTCCCGGGTTCAAGCAATTCTGCCTCAGCCTCCCAAGTAGCTGGGACTACAGGCACACACCACCATGCCCAGCTAATTTTGTTGTATTTTTAGTAGAGACGGGGTTTCACCATGTTGACCAGGATGGTCTCGATCTCTTGACCTCATGATCTGCCCACCTCAGCCTCCCAAAGTGGTGGGATTACAGGCATTAGCCACCGCACCCGGCTGAGGTTAGGGATCTGGTTAGAGAGGGGGTTAGGGATCTGGTTAGAGGAGGTTAGGGATCTGGTTAGAGAGGAGGTTGGGGATCTGTCCTTCCTCACTACTGCACTTGTTTAAAAAAAAAAAAAAAAAAGGCTGGGCGCGGTGGCTCACGCCTGTAATGCCCACACTTTGGAAGGCCGAGGCAGGTGGATCACCTGAGGTCAGGAGTTCGAGACCAGCCTGGCTGATGTGGTGAAACCCTGTTAAAAATACAAAAAATTACTCAGGCGTGGTGGCACATGCCTGTATTCCCAGCTACTGGGGAGGCAGAGGCAGGAGAATAACTTCAACTCAGGAGGCAGAGGTTGCCATGAGCTGAGATCGCGCCACTGCACTCCAGCCTGGGCAACAAGAATGAAGCTCCATCTCAAAAAAAAAAAAAAGAAAAGAGGCCACGCCGTGGCTTGCGCCTGTAATCCCAGCACTTTGGGAGACTGAGGCGGGCAGATTACCTGAGGTTGAGAGTTCAAGACCAGCCTGAACAATGTGGAGACACCCAATCTCTACTAAAAATAAGAAAAATTAGCCAGGCATGGTGGCGCATGCCTGTAATCCCAGCTACTCAGGAGCCTGAGGCAGGAGAATCGCTTGAGCCAGGCAGGTGGAGGTTGTGGTGGTGAGCCGACATGGTGCCATTGCACTCCAACCTGGGCAACAAGAGGGAAACTCTGTCTCAAAAAACAAAAACCAAAAAGGCACCTGCTCAGTGTAGCTATTTCAAGTTTATAAAAATAGGTCAAAAGAGGCTGGGTGCAGTGGCTCATGCTTGTAACCAATCCCAGCACTTTGGGACCCTGAGGTGGGCATCATGAGGTCAGGAGATCAAGACCATACTGGCCAACGTGGTAAAACCCTGTCTCTACTAAAAGTACAAAAATTAGCTGTTCGTGGTGGCAGGCACCTGTAATTCCAGCTACTTGGGAGGCTGAGGCAAGAGAATTGCTTGAACCCAGGAGGCAGAGGTTGCAGTGAGCCCAAGATCCAACCATTGAACTCAAGCCTGAAGACAGAGCACGACTCCATCTCAGAAAAAAAAAAAAAAAAAAAAAGGGGTGAAAAGAAATAAGTAGAAATCTGGCATCCAGCCAGCTCTCTGTGCATCCTTAAGGCTGGAATGAGGCCTTCCTTCCACCCTGCATCTCCATATGCAGCAGAAAAGTCCACAGAACCACGGTGCAGTGGTTTAATAAGTGGTTTAACAGCATGCACTGCACAGTTTTTACCCTTTTTCTTTCTCTTCTGTTTTTTTTTTTTTTTTTTTTGGTTGGGGGAACTTCCTTTTGCTTCTTATGCTCCTCACAAATCACATATAACCTTCCATAGCCACTCGGTGATTAACAGAGTAGAGAAACAGGGCAGGATGTCTAGGCAGCACACGTGCCCCAGTTAGGGAGGTTAGGGATCCAGTTAGCAAACCACAGGAAGACCTACAAGGGCTGTGTGCTATACTTGACCCATGCTCTGGTGCAAAGCAGCCATAGTTGCATTTGCCCAGAATGGGGGTTGGCTGGGAAGTATGACAAAGGAAGAGAGTCAGGGATGTTTGCAAGAGACTATGAGGCTTGTCCCAGGAATTTAAACTGGGGAGAGGGAAAGGGAAGAATAGGAGGGGCAGCGGGAGGCAGTAGCAGGATCACTGGCCTGTGGACTGAGAGGGGTTTGGAGCCGGGTACCAGAGCTTATTTGCTGACAAGAGCAGGATGTTCCGCACAGGTGCTTGTATGTACCGATTATGGCAGGAGCCAGAATGAGAGCCCAGGAGAAAAACCTTGGATCCCAGGTCACCTTCCTGCAGATGGGAGAAGCTTTAGTCAGGTACATGCAGTAGGAGAAGCAGAGGTCAGCCTCCAGCCTCCTCTTACCCCATTGAGGAAGGACCTGCACATAGAAGTGGTGGCTTTGGGCTGTGCATGGTGGCTCACACCTATAATCCCAGCACTCTGGGAGGCCGAGGTGGGCGGATCATGAGGTCAGGAGACTGAGATCATCCTGGTCAACATGGTGAAACCCCGTCTCTACTAAAAATACAAAAATTAAATGGGCATGGCAGCACATGCCTGTAATCCCAGCTACTCCGGAGGCTGAGACAGGAGAATCGTGAATCGCTTGAACCTGGGAGACGGAGGTTGCAGTAAGCCAAGAGTGCCATTGCACTCCAGACCTGTGATGGAGTGAGACTCTGTCTCAAAAAAAAAAAAAAAAAAAAAAAGAAGAAGAGGTACTTTTGTGCTGGGACTTGGCTCACTACAGCCTTGACCTCTGGGCTCAAGTGATCTTCCTGAGTAGCCTCCCTGAGTAGCTGGGACCACAAGCATGTGCCATGATGCCTGGCTAATTTTTCAATTTTTTGTAGAGACAGGGTCTCACTATGTTGCCCGGGGTGGTCTCAGATTCCTGACCTCAAGCAAGCCTCCTGCCTCAGCTTCCCAAAGTGCCAGGGTTATAGGTAGGAGCCACCACGGTTGACCTAATTGTTTTTTTTAATTCTAATCAATGGAATCCACTATTTTTTTTCTTAGGGTCTCGTTCTGTTGCCCAGGATGGAGTGCAGTGGTGCAATCTCAGCTCACTGCAACCTCCATCTCCCAGGCTCAAGGGATCCTCCCACCTTAGCCTCTAGAGTATCTGGGACTACAGGCACACACCACCATGCCTGGCTAATTTTTTTTTTAACATAAACTCAATATTTTATTGTCTTCATAAAAGAAAGATGACACTTAAAACTGGATCACTTGGCCCTTTCTATTCTTATCTCCTCCCAGTTCAAAATGCTTGCATCTTTTAGTAGCCAGCATTCTCTTAAATCTGCAGTTGGGCTCAACACACTCAAGCCTTAGCATAATCTTCTTTGTAGTTTTAGCTGTTTTCCAGAAAATTGCCTTAGTTTCCCCAGCATAGCCACTGTGCTTCCTGTCATAACACTGCTTTCCCTGGGCATACAGAGGGTCCTTGCCCTTCTTGTGCTGTGTCACTTTGTGGGGTTGATGCTTGCCACACTTCTTACGGAAAGTCCGGTGGGTTTTAGGAATGTTCACCATGTTTGTGTGTGGGTAACCCCCCCATATAGGCACCGAGGAATGAGAGCTAAGCAGAACCCTGGCACAGTTAGGGCTTGAGGAATATCTCACTTTATAATGTTACTACTCAGCTATTTCCTTTTATGTAATCCTTTACATAATCATATATTAGTTTATAGAAATAGGGCTTGAAGAATCCCTTTATATAATCCTCTATATATAATCATATAATAGTTGATAGTATGAATGCCTAAAGAATATTTCCCTATATATATACTTATAATTATATCTTAGTTCATAATCGGAGGAATGCCTAGAGTGGACACAGTACAGAGCATGAATTAAGGAATAAGCAGCTTATAATCGAAGGAATGCCTAGAGCAGACACAGTGCAGAGCATGATTTAAGGGAAAACAGTTACACCAGGACAAGAATCCATGGCCCAGGCGGCAGCGTTCAGTATCGTAAAGATACCCGCTGTATGGCAGGCTTGGGGTGAGAGCCACTCCTGATAAAGGAGTTGTAGGACCTTGCTCCCGTTCTTGTGGAAGGCTGCCCTCAGAACGGCAATCCACCTTGGTGACTGTGAACTCTATCAGCTCTTGCTGCTGTGCTGCTTAAAAAGCATCTTCCCATAGAACCCACTGGAAGCTGCCAGAAGGTGGCGGTAACCTTGACAGCTCTGTCACTGCTGTGTGACTTAAAGCATCCTCCCATAAATCTTCTTAGAAGTAGTTTTCCATAGACAGAAGTATCGCACACTGCACCCTCTTCACTTCGCACGGCCCACCTTCAAGCCTCGGTGACCTAATGGGGGTGGACTCCTCACTGCACACGGCCCTTGCCTTCATGGGAACGGGCCCCTTGCTGCGCACTGTCCACCTCCCGGCCTAGGTGACCTAATGGGGGTGGACCCCATGTTTTATTGCTCATGACCCTATCACTATCCTTAAAGATGATTTCACTCACTGCCCTGCCCCTTAACCTATGCACAATAAATACTCATGCTTCTGGACATTTGGGGCCTTGCCTGACTCTGCTTATAGGTGGTGTGGTTCCCCGAGCCCAGCTGCATTTTCTGTGTACTTCTGCGTCCTGTCTCTTTATTTCTCGGATCCTGCGCCTCAGCACAGCATAAGACTCACCCCACGACCCTGTGGGGCACTCAGCCTTACATCTGGCTCCCAACGTGCCCTACATTTGTGTGAGTGCCATCAGCACGGAAATACACCTGGCTAATTTTTGTATTTTTAAAAAAAGTTTTGGCTCAAGCCTGTAATCCCAGCACTTTGGGAGGCCGAGGCGGGTGGATCACGAGGTCAAGAGATCGAGACCATCCTGGTCAACACGGTGAAACCCCGTCTCTACTAAAAATACAAAAAATTAGCTGGGCATGGTGGCGCGTGCCTGTAATCCCAGCTACTCAGGAGGCTGAGGCAGGAGAATTGCCTGAACCCAGGAGGCGGAGGTTGCGGTGAGCCGAGATCACACCATTGCACTCCAGCCTGGGTAACAAGAGCTAAACTCCGTCACAAAAAAAAAAAAAAAAAAAAAAAAAAAAGTTTTGTGTTTTTTGTAGAGATGGGGTTTTGCCACATTGCCCAGGCTGGTCTTGAACTTTCGGCCTCAAGCGATCCACCTACCTTGGCCTCCCAAAATGCTGTGATGACAGGCCCCTGGCTCCCTTTTGGATTTCCACTTTGGGAACAGCCAGCCGCCAGGTCATGAGGATACTCAGACAGCCTGTAGAGACCCACATGGGGAAGAACTGAGGGTAATCCATTGTGCAGCAATAGATTACTAAGACAGGATGTGCCTAGAGAATTTGCTCTAGGACACGGTCCCAGTTCCCAGGGCATGGGTCCTGGTGTCTTAGCTGCATACGGAGCCTGTGGGCTGAGAGGGGTTTGGAGCTAGGTCCCAAAGCATTCATAAGGGACATCCATGAGGTTAGAATGAGGTCTCTCCACGAAGGCTGGGCCACATTTCATGTGGCAGTTGCTTCTTGGTAAGTCCAGGTGGCCTCATCCTGATCAGGTGTAGCCCGCTCCTCAGCCAAGGACACTGGGACTCTCAGGCTCCCCTGCCCACACTTTCCTCTCCAGGGTCTTCCCTACCAATGATTCCAGCTGTGTTATTGCCCCAGTTCAGTGGGTGCTGCACCCTGGTGCTCTGGCTGGGCTCCATCTCCTGCACATATATTTGCTTTATTTTATTTGATTGTACTTTAAGTTCCGGTATACATGTGCAGAACATGCAGGTTTGTTACATAGGTAAACATGTGCCATGGTGGTTGGCTGCACCTAGACTTGCTTTTTATTTTTTATTTTTACTTTTTGAGACATGGTCTCTTATCCAGGCTGGAGTGCAGTAGCACAGTAATGGCTCACTACAGCCTTGAACTCCCAGGCTCAAGCAATCTGCCTGCCTTGTCCTCTGGAGTAGCTAGGGACTACAGACATATGCCACCATGCTTGTCTAATTTTTTAATTTTTTGTAGAGATGAGGTCTCCCTATGTTGCCCAGGTTGGTCTCCAATTCGGGTTCAAGCCGTCTACCTGCCTGGGCCTCCCAGAGTGCTGGGATTACAGGTGGGAGCTACTGTGCCCAGCCAGATTTGCTTTTTAGATTCTCCTACATTTGTGGGAAAACTGAACTCTGAGTGGAGCCTGGTGATCAGACTGCCCTGGAAATGTAAGATGTTACCATTAGGGGAAACCAGGTCCGGGGACTCTATGCTCTTCGCAGCTTTTCAGTAAATCTAAAATTATTCCAATAAAAAATAGTAAAACATCTGGTTGGCTGGCAGAAAGGAAGGCAGCCTCCGTCCCTCGTGGCTGTCCCAGGCTGGCTGGGGTGGCGCTCTGGCTGTCCCTATTCAGTCCCTAACTCAGGCTGCCAAAGACGGTCGCCAGTCTAGGGGAAGAACTGGCCCAACGCGCTCCCCAAATACATCGCTGCAGGCACAGGGTTTGGGAAGAACTTTTATTTTCCTCTTTCTTCTGCTGTGGGTTTTAATTTCCTGCCATTTTCATAATTTAAAAATAAGTGCTATTTTAGCACGAAACAATGTTTCTTTAGCCAAAGCCGGAGTGAGTGGGCAGCAACGGCCGCGCGCCCTGCTCTGGGTGGTCCCGACCCCGGGGAAGTCCCTGTGCATAACGAGGGATTACGGGGGCGGCAGGAGGAAGTGGGGGGCGCGGCACCCAGGCATCGCTTTCCTCCCTCCGAGGGACCCCAACTTGCAAAATCTGAAGAGCCCAGCTGGGGCGGGGTCGCGGGGTGCTCGGGAACCGGGTCTGTGACGGGGCGGGGCCAAGCCGGGGCCTCCTCCGAAGCTAGGCCAGGACTGGGGCGTGGCGGGGGCGTGGTCGAGCGGGCGCCCTGCGGGTGGTGGAGGAGCCCGCGGGCGGCTTCTGCCTAGACCACTGTGCTTGCCCGGCTGTCTCCAGTCCCAGCCCCAACGCCCTGGGGAGGGGGAGAAAGCGTGCACGTGAGCGCCACGCCTTGGGGCCGGCTCTAACCTGACACAAGGTCCTGCAACTAGTTAGAGAGGTGTTGTGGGCTGAATTGTGGCCTCCCCAAAATATGTTCCGAGCCAGGTGCAGTGGCTCATGATTGTAATCCCAGTGCTTTGGGAGGCGGAGGACGATTGCTTGAGTTTAGGAGTTTGAGACCCGTCTAGGCAACATAGGAAACCCCCCCCCCCACCTCTCTCTTTAAAAAAGAAAAAACAAACTAAGTTGGTCGTGGTGGTATGGGCCCATAGTTCCAGGTACTCAGGAAGCAGAGGTGGGAGGATCGCTTGAGCCCAGGAGGTCGAGGCTGCAGTGAGCCGTGATCGCGCCATTGCACTTTAGCTTGGGCGACAAAGCTGAGACCTTGTCTCAAAAGAGATATTTCAGGCCCTAAGCTGGTATCTGTAAATGCAAGCTCATTTGGAAATAGAATCTTTGCCGATGTAATCAAGATAAGGTAAGGTTATTAGGAAGGCCTCTACTCCAATAGATCTGTGGTCCTCATAAGACAAAACAGACTCGAGCAGATGCCCAAGGCAGAGGCCACGTGACCTAGGAGCCCGCGATCGCAGGTTGCCACCAAAGGATGGAGGCAAGCACCGGAAGCTGCGGAGAGACCAGGGAGGACCCTCTCCAGACCCTCCCACCCTGCTGGTACCATGTTTTCCTGCTGCTAGCCTCCAGAACGATGAGGGCCTTTCTGGTGTTTTGTGGCCCTAAGAAACCGGTACGAGAAGGAACCAGGTTTTGGAGCCCCCCTGGTCCAGTCCAGACGTAGTGTTGCCATCTGGAGATGAACATGAGGCTATGGGGGATGAGGAGGGCTCTGGAGGAAGTTGTCCCTCAGCTAAGAGCTGGCACAGTGAGAGGGGTAAAGTTCAGATTGGTGCTTGCCAAAGGTGGGCATCTGTGGCTGTCCAAGGGGTGACAGCAGTGGGAGTCAGCTCTCAGGCCTGGGGCTCTGCTTGCTTGGGTCGCCTCTCCAAGAAACATCTTTGTGGGGAGATGGATTTCCAGTTGTCCCCAGGACTGAAGCCTGGTCCTGATATGTGGTTTAGTCCCTGCTCTGGTGGAGGTGACCACTGGGACTCAGCCAGGACATGGGCAGGGAAGTGGGGCTCCTCAGCTGGATTTCAGCCCCCATGTCCATCACCCCTACCCAATGGGGACCCCAACTCGGGGGAAGCTTTGCTCACATGGCCCTGAGAAGCCTTGCACTGCTGCCCGTGGGTTCCCAGTGGCTGCAGCTGTCACTCCCATGGGCCGCCCGGGGGACCAATGTGGTCTTCAGGCTGAGTGGGAGCTGGGACACAGCCAGACCTTGGGAAAACTGAGGTTCCAGCCCAGAGAGCATGAGTGGTTAGGGCTAGGAAGGGGTTGTTGGGAAGGCCTCAGGGGAGGCCCTTCTGGCCCTAGCTACAGCTCTTCTTGGACTCTGGGCCTGCTGGGCCTTGCGTTGAGCGCATGGGGACTCCTTCCCTCCCCTCCTTGGAGGCAGGAGCCACCTGGA